AAATCTGTAATAATCTGCATTTTTGAATATCTGCACAGATCTGTGTTAAAAATTCTGCAATAATCTGCATTTTCACAGGTTATCACAGATCTGTGCCAAAAAAAATTTCCTGATGATATCTCTAAATTTTTTAATTTTTAAACAGAATAATTTAACAAAAGCTTAATCAAATTCTAACAAATTTTTTAAATAAATTTATAAGAAAATTTTATTAAATTTGATAAATCATTGTTATCTTTGTTTAAAGCTTTAAAATTTGGTATACTTTTATGGTAATAACTTACCTCATGGGCAACTTATTTATAAACTTAAAATCAGTGATTAAAAAATTAAAAAAGCTATTACTATAAAAAGACACTTATATTGATGTCGATCACCAAATATCATAAATACTTAAATTCCAGTAATTTTATTACATTCCAATAATTTTATTACATTCCAGTAATTTTTTTTAAATTCTAGTAATTTTTGGAAAAGTAATACACGTTTGAATGTTCGTCTTTGAGTAGTCCATTTATTATAGACACATCAAAAAGATGTAATTAAATAGAAACCTTTATGTTTCGTACAAAGCATAGTTAACTATCTAAAATACATCGTATTAAAATCAGGTTAAAAATTATTCTTGAATAATATAGGAGCCGTATTTTGACATGTGGCAGGATGCCATGTAAATATATTAGTTCAAAATTTGAAGACTTGATCCTAGAATGATAAATAATAGTTCAAATAGTAATTTAGAGAAGATACAACGAACTAAAAAATTACAAAATTATAAAGGATTACCTCTAATTTTGAAATAGTTCTGGGTTTATTGTATCCTAAGGCTTCACAATGTTTAGCCATGGCATTAACCATAGGAGGGGGACCACATAACAATATCTTGATATCATCAGAAGGACTTGGACAATATTTTTGTATAACTTCAGGAGTAACAAACCCGGATCCACCTGTCCAACCTTCTGGAGGCTAATCAAAATGAAAATGTAAATGAGACCAATATTCGGACAAGAATCTTTATTATAATATACATACTTTATCTAATGAATAAAACACGGTAAAATTTTCGTGACGAGCAGCGAGTGAATCTAACTCGTCTTTTAGAAGAATATCATCATATGTTACATTTGCAAATATAAGACTGACACGCGTCTTATCTGCCGGATTTTTGCAAATTGCTCGGATAATCTAAAATATTATTGCGAAAAGTACGTCAAAATCTTTACTATACTAAAATTACATAATTTTTTCAATGTAATTTACCTGTAACATTGGTGTTATGCCAGTACCACCTTTTTAATACGAGAAGAGAAGTCACGAACAATTTTCTAGAAAAAAAGAAAATGACAGATGTAATAAAATTTACTTACCAGCAATCATTCCTAAAGCTCTCACTAAGCCTGGTTTATACTTAAATTGACCTTTAGGACCCTTAACAGTAATCATTTGTCCTACTTCAAGACTATCGAACCACTTCGATATGTTGCCATTTGGATAAGTCTGCAAATGGTGTTATAAATTATGAATATAATCAAATATAAGGAGTTTATCATAATAAAGTAATGTACCTTTATGACAAGATCAAAGTGTCCAATATCATCATCGGAACTTGTTGGTGTGTAACTACGTTGAACCGGCTTTCCACCAATCTCCGCTTGTACTGAAATATGCTTTAATAATCAAATTTTAAAGAATTTAAAACATGATTGAAGTCTATAACATAGTTATGAATTTATTGAATTCTTTTTTTACCTGTCCAATCGGAAGACCTAAAATATCATCAGGATTGGGTAAACCGAAACGGTACCTATTGATTTAAATATTTAATTTGTCTTGGCAACATTAACGATAATAAACCGAAATTTACGAGAGAATTTTTAAAAGCATTACAGGGCAACATTGTGACTAATTGTTATTTTTTTCACGAGAGGAAACTGTTTCCATTGTTCCGGATTTAAGGCTGCATCTTTTGTTAGTAATTTGATATAAATAAATATAAACATATATATAAAAAAGGTCAGGCGTGAAACTTTGATAGTATAAACCAACCAAATACCTTTTGACTTATTAACGAATAAATGCTTAATTCCAAAAGCAATAGAAACAAGTGCTGCTATTATAGGAAAAAGGTCTGGAGAGTATAAATAAAACCCACCAAGAACAGCAGCAGAAATTGTAATGTTGATTATATTAGACGACATAATGACGGGATTTTTTCGTCATTAGATTCAATTGCCTATACTATATATATCAGATATATGTAGCCAATCGGAGGGTTTCGAACCGATAATCTTCACAAATTGCCTTAAAGTTTAAGAGCATGCCTTGCCTTCATTAGTTAGTCTAAAGTCGAGTGTATATATTCGCCACATTATCTTTATCTATAGATCAATTAATAATCAGCTCAAAACTACCTGCTTTGAACGATCTCTTTGAACTATATAAAATTATCGATATAATTAGTTTAATGAACCCATTTAACGGATCTTTACCTTGAAAATCACGTTATGGGACATATGATTTACTATGACCCATAACGTGATTTTCAAGGCAAAGACCCAAAATAATACTATGTATATAGTGTCGCTTCTCCGGTGGTTTAAAAGATTTATTTTATTTCATCTAGAGATGTAGCTATAAATAAATACAAGATTATATATATATATATATTATATGATTATTACCTGGTTCGGACATCCAACTTTTAACGTCTACCATTTCGTGTAACCCGAGCTTCCGGAATTCGATCCGAAAGATTCAGATTCGGACCTGGGATCGGACCTGCGAAGACCTAGTGTAATACCAAATGAAGGACGAATAGATTAGTGTAGCATTATATGATTGGCCCATTTGTTAAAAAAATTTATACGTAGTAGTAAAAACTACTTCACAGAAACTAGCTAATTTTTTTTTATTTATTTATTATAATCTTAAAGATTATAATAATAATCTTATAATAAAGTAATCTTAAAGTAATCTTAAAATAATCTTATAATAATCTTATAATAATCTTATAATAATCTTAAAAAAATCTTTAAATAATCTTAAAAAAATCTTATAATAGTCTTAAACAATAATTTTATAATAATCTTATAATTTTTAGGAATTATTTATATATAGCCATGGTTACATATACGTAGCCGTATATTATGAAAATTAATAAATTGCTAATATATATCTCGAAATTTTACTATTATAACCCCTGTCGTGTAATATAAGCAAAAATGATCGTTACGCATATTACCCTAGCATAACCCCAACCCTAACCCTAAATATAAACTTAATTTAACTTTATTTATTATATATATTGTTTATAACCGGCTACGTGTAGCCTATGGCTATAAAAGAATTACCGTAATTCTTTTATAATTATTAAATTATAATTTTATTATTATTTTTATATTAAATCTTAAAATTAAAATAAAATAATCTTTTCATTACGGAAATATATATCATATTAATAACTTTAATATTATCATAAACTCATCAAAAAAAAAGTGCTAGTTTCTGTAAAGTATGTATTTTTAAAATGTTATTACTTCCTTCCTATATAGTAAAGTAAATTCGATTCTGTAACTTGCAAATGATATAAAAATAGCGTTGTTTTAAAACTATGATGCCACGTTTAATATTAATATATGAATTTAAGTAGGTCTCTATAATTTAATTGTTTAAATAATATCTTTAAAATGTTCTAACTCCCGCTCTAGTAGAGCAAATTTAATTCTGTAACGTATAAATAGCTTGCTTTTAAAACTATGTTGCAATATTTAATATTAATATGTAAATTTTAGTAGTTCTCTATAATTTAATCGTTTAAATAATTGTTAAAATTTGTTAATTCGTAATTTTAGCCAAATTAATAAAATGAAATAAAAAATATCTCAACATAGTTTTAAAAGTACATTATTTATATATCATTTACAAGTTACATAATTGAATTTGTTCTACTAGAACGAGAGTTAGAATATTTTAAAAATATACCGTTTTTATTATAAAATTACTATTAAAAATCTTAAGGGCCAATCATATAGTTCTGTCCTATGAGAGTAAATCATTTTATCTAACAGTATTATAGCAATTTCAGTTTGGTCTTAGGTTTAGACCAGACAGTCTAACATTGGAAATTTTATTTCAACTCAATCTAACGGATAATAAAATAACAAAGTTTAATTTAGAATAAGTAGTTGTCGCTCAAAATTTGAAAAAAAAAAAATTTAAAATGCGATAAAATTTTTTTTCAAACTTTGAGCGAGTAAATTTTTATACCACGAATACGTAGTGTATATATATGATACTTTTAGAAAAATATCAGAATTGTTATCTATAACTTTTTTAAAATAATCTATTTTTAGCTTATATACAATGATACCTTTCTAAGTGCAGGAGTGTACGCTTAGAAATGGTGTGTATTTACAGAAAATTATTATTTTACGAAAAATTTACTATGCTAATCGACTTTGTCTATTAAGTGAAAAAAATATTCTAACAAAAATACCCTAGTTTAATATACAGAATGAATGTAAGACTAGGGTCCGGGTTGTGCCGGG